TTCTGTTATAAAATTATTATATAAGTTAACTGTTATATAATTATTAATACTGTTAAGTGAATCTAGCGCCAGAGTGTCGCTATGGTAAACAAATACTAGAATGAATTTTAAAGAATGCATTTATTCTATTGTGGTTTATGCGCTGTCGGCGAAGTAGATTTAATTCAATGCAGTAAGTTTAAATGAAATGCAAGAAAAAATGCGTATAATTTAATATTCCAATACAAGGCAGTCATGTGGTGTACACATCAGATTTTTTTTTTCGGTTTTGTGCAGTTCAAATCAACGGATAGTAATTTTTTTTTTTTTTTTTACATGAAGAATTAGTGTTTTCCAAAAGGAATTTAACGGTGTAAACTGCATCTAAATCAGACTATTGGTTCCAGAAAAAATTGTGAATTTATGCGTTTCGGGGCCCCGATCGACAGATCTGAGGACTCGGATGCTCTGTTCTAATTGAGCTAGAGACAAGCAATTTTTTTAACGATAAAACGTTGCGAGAGGAACATCTGGGGTATTTCGGATTTCTGTCAATTGCTGATTTATTTATTCAGCGATTTTTTTTAAAAATTTCGGAAAGATCGCTTAAAATCGCCTGATAAACATAAACTCGCCGTTCTAGTAGGAAATGAAAGGTTACATCCCAGGTCAGCTACATGCAATAGGATTAGGTTTTTGCTCCATCAGATCCTAAAAAAATCACATTTGGGTTTAACATGGGGCGCGACATCTCCTGGATGCCCCTTAGAGAAATGACATTTTTTTACATGAAAAAATAGCATTTTTCTCAAGGAATCTACTGGTACAAACCGCGCTTCAATTGGAATCCTAGGTCTCAAGAAAATCTCAAATTTTTACCTGAAAACTGGTTTTTCCAATTTTCCCTAATTTAAATCAATGGATTGTAAAAAAAAATTTACATGAAGAGTTAGGGTTTTCCAAAAGGAATTTAACGATGCACACCACATCTAAATCGGACTATCGGTTCCTCTCAAAATCGCAAATTTATGCATTTGGGGGACCTGGATACTGGTTTCTAATTGAGCTAGAGACAAACAATTTTTTTTAATGATAGAACGTCTCGAGAGGAACATTTGGAGTATTTCGGATTTTTATTAATTGGTGATTTTTAAAAATTTCGGAAAGATCACTCAAAATCGCCTGATACACATAAACTCGCCGCTCTTGCGGGAAATAAAAGGTCACGTCCCAAGTCAGCTACATGCAAAAGGATTAGATTTTCCCTCCATCAGATCTTCAAAAAGTTGCATTGGGGTTTAACATGGGGTGGAAGATCTCCTTAGCGAGATGGGGGGGATTAGGGTGGATGTTCTATCGCTTTAGTGTGTTTTTTCTTCAAGAAACTCAACTGATGGCTTTCAGAATGAGAAGATGCATTGTCATGGTGGAGCATGAGTTCTCTAACATTCGCTTCTTGAAAAATTTCTGGAAGACGCTTAGTGGTGTACCAGTTAGCTCTGTCTTCTGTCCTTCCAGCTTGATGGCTTTGACCAGTCATGTACTTCTGAAGTAAACAACATGTACTACTTTTTTTTTTAGCACGCTGTCTTTTCACCAGTGTAGGTGTGGGGTCATCTTCAAAGACCCATACTTTACTTTCTTGACGTATTTGAACGACAAAAAATGGTAATTATGTTTCATTACTAATTACAATTTTAGAAATAATGCAGTAGCCACCATCTTTAAGTAATTTAAGGGTTTTCTTCTTTGCTAATTATGGCACACTTCCCTTTTTGGTGCTCAGTTAAATGATGGGGGAACTCAACAGCAGACTAGTTTTTTTATATGCAATTCTTCTTGAATATGTGTATGTATGGCAACAGATCCAATGTTAAGTTCTTTCTGTATCACAATGGCCTTCCTGTAGGTTCGTCATGTTGAAGAGAGTTGCAACATCTTTGAGATTTTGTAAATCACCTGAATACAGTAGCATGAGATGGACCTTCATTTCCAAATGCTAATTGTAGACTTTGAAACCATTTCTTCTTGATTTAATCCCACTTTAAATTCGTAGAAAATCATAGCACAATAATGTACTTGTGTTAACTCTATTTTTCTTCTGCTTTAAATTTATTCTTCTTGCCAGTTTCAGGTAGTTAATAATAGAATTAATTCTAAAATTTATTTTATTGCTAAACTACTTGCAGATGGTCAATAAAAATTGCCTACTAGGGCAAGACAGTTCATACTTGCAAATCAAATCATTAATTTTTCCCTGCCACTTATTGTCTGTGTGTATCTAAAAAAAATCAGAGTCTCTGTAATAATGTAACAAAACGTTAAAACAATTAAAAATATTTTTAAAAATATATTTCATAAAATAATAAGTGGCTAATCACTTTTGTTTCCCCACCTCAGAGAAAAAAAAGATACTGTATTTTTAGCTCAGTATTTTATTTTTAGGGAAAATGTTTGCTATAAGGGAAAAATAGATAAATACTTAACAAAAGACAAAAGTCATCGTTTCATTTTTGACATTACTTTTAGAAATCTGTTGAAATCTGGTCATTTTTTTAAGATGTATGTACTGGGTGACCCCAAAGTCCATTAACATACGAAAATTCAATAATTCACTGAATAATATAGATAGGTAAAAACTGACATACATGCTTGAAATGTGGTGGGGTTTTATTGAAAACAAAAATAATACTTAAAATGGCCAACACATGGCACTTCATATAACAAAAGCAGTAATTAACATTATTGATTTTTAGCAAAGACTGTTCTTTATAACAAATGTTCAACATGTTGGTCGTCATTCATCATCAATACCTTTAGTGAAAGGACAATATAGTGAATAGCACTGTACAGCATATATACAGTTGTTGTGAGAAATTGCTGTGGGATGTCGTCTTTTAGCATCCTTAATGAAGTCGGATGATAACGTTAGACTTGCAATTTGAGGTAACCCTTCAACCAATAATTACACGAATTGAGATCTGGGAGATCTGAGAGGCCAAGCATGACAGAAGTAGCGGCACAGCACGTAATTCTCACCAAATGATGTGTGAAAGAAATTGTTCAAACGTGTAGCAATATGGGGTGGAGCACCATCCTGCATTAAAGTTATACCTTCCAACAGGTGTTTATCAGCCAGACTAGGGATCATGTAATTCTGTAACATATCAGCATACCTCGCACCTGTCACACTGACAGAGTAACAAAACCATGCATTTCCTCAAAGTAAAAGGGGTCTGATCATGACTCGTGTGATAAATCCACATCGCACTCTGACCAACACCCGAAGACGAGGATAGAAAAGTGACCAAGTCCTGAAGAGACCGATTCCTCTCTCATTACAGCTCATTTCATACACGATTCTCATGCGGTATCGCTGACATTTTGCCATGTTGGCCTTTTTCTGAATTTTTTTTCTTTCAATAAAACTATGTGTTATTTCAAGCCTGTGTGTTAATTTTTACCTCTCTACCTTCATTATTCTGTGAATTATTTAATTTTCAAATGTTAATGGACTTTTGGGTCAGCCGGTAAATATAGGTTGTGATAACAGCTACATGCATGAGAGTCACAAATTTAGGAAATTCATTAAATACTGTTTAACAGAATTTTATTTGAAGCATAGTTCAAAAACCCTATTAATCTCTTAGACATAAAGCTAGATTATATGTTACATTAGTTTGATCTGAGTTTTTAAAGAATGGGGGGGGGTATTCTTGAAATGTTCTTTAAAATGTAAAATTCAAAATTAATGAAACTAAGTATTTTATGAATAAAATATATTTTCATTAAATTTCGGGAAGAATATAGATCGGTTTCAGAACATGTGTTTCAAATCATTCACAGTAGACATTGACCCACAGCTTACTACAAGAACCTAACATTACTTTTTTTAGTGCCTTTACAATCTATGCATCTGTTGCCAACAGTAAAAATTTTTAGTCAAAGGTCTGCAGAATAATTATTTTTAAAGCAAATGTGTTTAAAAGTTTGTCAAAAGGATCATATGCTTTCGAATATAAGCTGAAAGTGCGCTTTTCCTTCAAAAATTTATTCATAACTCAATACTTGTATATAAGCTAAAATGAAACAAAAATTTCCTGTTATGTTCAACATGTCATTGCGAGCACGAAAATGTTCCCCGGCAGGTAAAACGTGTGGATTTATTTTCCAGTCAGACTGCTGTAAAATAAAACCAAACAACTTATATTCTTTGGTAAAATGCCAGACATACGACTTTTTAACCCTATCTGAAGCTAGCACATTTTTTCCATTCAGTTATTGACTTGTATATAATCTGTGGTATCCATGCCAGTTTATTTTTTATTTTATTATTATTATTATTTTCATCTGAAAGATGAGCAGTTACACGGGAAATTTCAAACTTCAGGTGATTGCATTTGATGAAAATTCTAACAACAGTATGGCTGCTCTGCATTTCTCCGTAATTGACAAAGAAGATCAAAAATGGAGAAAGCGGAGTGCAAATTGCACGAATATCGGATTTTTCATGTTGGCGATGATACACCAAACCAGAATTATAAACAGTTTTGAAAATAAAACAACTCATTTTCATAAACTTAAATATAAAAGAAATGAAGAAGTGCCATATTTAGCAGTGTTCACTTATTCCTATAACATTTTAGAAAAATTTCCAAAGAAAAGAATAGGAGAAAAGTTCCAAAAATTCTAGTCTTATGCATGAAAATATGTGGTATTGTTTAAAAATAAAATAGAAAGTCGGGAATTTTTTATGCTAATTTTATGTCCATCGTATAGAATAGGCTTCTTCATTTCAACATTGTATAAAATACCAGATTGTATCAAGTGAAAAGTGCAAATAAAAAATGATGATTCTTAGCTTTTGACTTGATTTTAACAATATTCTGAATACTAGCAGTATAGGTTATACTAGCCTAAATACTAGCTACATATATTATTTAGTACATTATTTTAATATTTCAAGTGTAAAATGTTTTAATATCTTATTATTTCATAAAATGTTTATAATTTTTCATTAGGAAATATATGAACTTATTCAGAATGGTTCCACTTGTCGAGCTGAGTCAGTCACACATTATGAAACTGGAAGTGAAGCGATAATGAGTTGTGCTATATACGGTGCTGGAAAGTATTACATTTTATTTGCTTCAATGGCAGGTAATTGCCAGATCTATAAAATAAAGTATGAAATTGTGGAAAATGACCACATAGAAAAGAATTCATACTCAGGTAATTATAATAGTTTGAAACTTCACATAAAGTGTACAGAACTTTGATAAGTTGAACTGAATATTAAAATATAAAATTTTTAATATAAAATATAAAATTCTTGATTAGTTGAATAGCTCATCATTTGAATTTTTCCTTTCTTTCAGTTTCAACTTATCAAAGTTTTTTAGCACTAGAAGGGCTATTAATCTTGCACTTTTTATCTGTGTCACTTTTCAAATAAGAGTATGTTGCCACCAAGTGTGGTTGCTGTGTTGTATTTTTAAAAAAAATAATATGGCAGATATAAAAGAATGTATGACAGGATGAAATGTTATAACTATGTTTTATTTGTAAATAAAAATATAGCGGATGTAAAAAAAAAAAAGTGCAATATTTCACACTTGAGTGGAAATTTTAAAGATATGCTGCTTTTAAATATTTTTTGCTGTTGAACTTTATGTGGTGAAAGTGATGTTCAAAATTAAAGAGACATGCATGAGACATGTCTAAGACCTAAGTTCTGTAGGTCTAAGATGACCTAAGTTCTGTAGGTCTAAGATGACCTAAGTTCTGTAGGTCATCTTTTTAAGAAAACTGAATATTAACATTATGAGCTCGGAAAACACTGAAAAGAATAAAAAAATATGGCAACATTGGAAATTCTAAAATTATGCTGCTTTTGAAAAAAAAAAAAAAAAAAAAAAAAAAAAAAAAGTAATTGTGATTTTACAGGTAAGTTTTGTGTGATGTAAATGTGTGAAGAAAACAGCAGTGAGTCGGAGAGCAGATTTGTAAATTGTGAGTTCGGTAAAAGCATAAAGCACAACATTAATAAAACTGCTAAACAAGTGTCGATATCTGAATCCTTTCAGATTTCCATTCCTTTTTTTAAGCTAATTTTATTAGCACATTATGACATTATAATTCTCATTTAAAGACAACTTCAATTCTAATGAGTAAATGTCTTTTATTAGAATTTACTAATGCACAGTTTGTTTCACCTCCTTGAGCTTTTATTAGAAGCTTATGTATTGAAAATGCTTTCAGTGTAAGAGCATTTAAACCAAAAATTTCTCTGTGCTATTAATAATGTGCTATATTATTATTATTTTTAAATCAGAGAGCAACCACACTGGCATTCAGGATTAAAGGCTAATTGTAAAAGGAATGTGGACAGTAAAAAATGCGATTAACTGGGGAGAAGTCGTGCGGGGCACAGAGTCACCCCATGCGTCAAAAATCAACAATCCTAACCAGAAATATTTCATTTTAATGAGTCATCCTTCTAATATCCTCTCGTTTGACACTCCCCTTGGGATGTGCATTGTTATTTTTGCTTGTTTTTCTTTTCTGTGAGAGAAGCAATCATTTCTTGGAATCCATGAGGGAATGGGGTGACTCAGTAACCCCGAGTGACCGTTACTGCTTCGAAATTTTTTGTTAGCAGCAGTTTAGCTTCGTGCTCTTAAGTGTTGCCATTGTTGTTCTGTTGGATTATTTGATAGATAATGGCTTACAGACATAAATTTACCAAATATGAAAAAGAGATGGAACGTTTGAAAACTCTATTAGACGAAGTTGAGTCTTCTGAAGGAGAAATTGATCAAGATAGTGAAAATGAATTTGATGAAGTTCTCACGACAGTGAAAGTGAATTTGAGCAGAATGATGAAGACGACAAAAATCCTGATTTAGTAAAAAGTATTTTTATTAGCAAAAATAAGAGTTTGGCAGAATGGAAAACTAAATCAAAAAGTGAAAACGTCTTCTCAAATTAAAATAACGCATTTACCAGGATTAAAAGGAACTACACACAATATAACGGAGCCTCTAGAAAGTTGGGAATCGTTTTTCAATGCTGAAATGATACGATCCATTGTAGAGTGTACAAATATTTATATTGAAAAAATATCGGTAAATTACAGAAGAGATCGGGATGCCAAAACGACAAATGATGTGGAAATTAGAGCACTTTTTGGGCTTTTACACCTGTATGGCTTGCATAAATCATCACATAAAAATATGCAAGCTTTGTGGGCTACTGATGGATGAGGCATTGAAATTTTATGGAACACAATGTCATATAAAAGATTTAATTTTCTTCTCGGGTGTCTACGGTTAGACAATGTGACCAGTCGTGAAGCTTGGAAAAAATTGGACAAACTGGCGGCTGCGAGAGAATTTTTTTATCGATTTCAAAGAAAATTTCCAAAAGATATATCTTATTGGTAAATATGTTACTATCAAAGAAAAATTGGAGAAATTTCGAGGGGACTGTTCCTTTCGTTCTTATATACCCAGCGGCCCATCGAAATATGGTATCAAAATATTTGCCTTAGTAGATTCAAGAATTTTCTGCGGCTATAACATGGAGATATACGCAGGACAACAGTCGGAAGGTCCCTTTAGATTTGAAAATTCACCATTTTAAATTACAAAACGCCTGTGCACCACTTTGCTTGGGCAGAAATGTAACAATGGATAATTGGTATATGAGTTATCCTCTAGCAAAAGAACTTTTATCAAAGAAGTTAACTATTGCAGGAACCCTGAACAGAAACAAGGCTGAAATTCCCACCAAGTTCGTCCAAACAAAAACTAGGAACTGTTATTCTTCTATATTTTGGTTCTAAAAAAACGCGACACTAGTATAGTATGTGCCTAAAAAATCAAAATGTGTAGTTTTGTTATGTACAATGCATTACGATGATGCCATTGATGAAAGTGATGATACGAAGAAACCAGAAATAATTTACTTTCATAATGCAACAAAAGGTGGTGTAGAGAAAATTGATAAAATGTTATCATTATATTCGACAGCTCGAAAAGCACCAGATGGCCGATGGTAGTCTTTTACTATGTTGCACGTCACTGCAATAAATATCCAAGTTAACTTATTCTCAACAAAGACCCCTCCCTTACAATATCAAAATAGTAGAAAATTCCTAAAAAATTTGGCTGTATCTCTTATACAGCGCCTCACATAGAGATAACAAAAAATATGTCAATGCTTCCAAAAGTGGTTAGTGAAAGCATCGATAATGCGATTTCTAGTGTATCAGAAGAATGCCCATCAAAGAAACCAAAACTCGACAAAAACCGATATGCTATGTGTCCAAGATCCAAAGACAATAAAACTGCAATTTCTTGTAAAATATGTGATAATTTTTCATGTAAAATTCATTCATCCTGTGTTTGCCAGAAGTGTATGTTAGCTTCTGACCCTTCATTAGGTGTATACTTATTTTGAATGGAATTTTTTCTTAAATATTGAAATAAAGTTTTTGAAGTAAAGAAGTACAGTTTCTAAATGAAATATTGCAATTATTGTTTATAATCAAATGTTTTCTATAAAATATATAACCCACTTTTCTAATGAAACTGATTGGGGTGACACAGTCACCCCGTGCGATCTTCAACGTCAGTGTTGGGTGTGTGCCTTCTGCCAGGTTAAAATTGCACTAAGCATAGTTATAAGGTATGGAATATAATAATTTACTGCTGTGCTGGTATTTTCACACAGAATATGCATTGTGTGCAAATAAGATCATAAAGGGCAAATCGTAAAGGGAAACATGATCAACAAGTGTGCTTATTGTGCTTAAACATAAAGATGCAAGGTTGAAAATGATTATATGTTGTTAATTACATCTGAAAGGCATTGTTTAGGTACCAAAAGTAGCAAGTGGTCAGCAGCTTTGAGATGGGTCAAACAGTGTTGAGTGTTTCGTGATAAAATATTTCTGTAGGTGTTATTTAAAGAATCTGGGAGCCCCTTGCTGCTCAAGATTGACTGACTGTAAGTGCAACATATAAAGACAGATTTTGGACTGACTGTAAGTGCAACATATAAAGACAGATTTTGGACTGACTGTAAGTGCAACATATAAAGACAGATTTTGGGATTTGGATTCGGCACGCAATGAACTGGAAGTTGATCTGTCAGCACTATCCTTATCTTCAGGGCAGATGTTTTTATTTTATTCAGCTTATAATTCCTTACTAAATGTAGTATTTCATCTTGATGTATTCCGTCTTTGATATGATTTGAATTAAATTCCTCATCATTATAAATATCACGAGTACACATCAAGTAGTTTTCTGGTTTCAATTTTCTAATTTTGACTATGCGTAATGTATGCTTACGCATGCGCACGTTGAAAGAAATGTTTAATAAAGTAAACAAATAATTATAAGCTTTTTTTTTGTAAATTTTGATACCCTTTAGATCATAATGTTCTTTATTTCATAAATAGTTTCATTTTTTAATTTTGTAATTTCTGCATGCGATCTTACCAGATTTAAACTAATGATCTATAATCCGGAAAAATCGATAATCCGGAATCGCCGAAGCCCCGACGAGTCCGGATTAACGACTTTTGACTGTATACAATATTTTGTTGTATACAATATTGTGACTGTATACAATATAGCGGCACGCAATGAACTGAAGTTGATCTGTCAGCACTATCCTTATCTTCAGGGCAGATGTTTTTATTTTATTCAGCTTATAATTCCTTACTAAATGTAGTATTTCATCTTGATGTATTCCGTCTGATATGATTTGAATTAAATTCCTCATCATTATAAATATCACGAGTACACATCAAGTAGTTTTCTGGTTGCAATTTTCTAATTTTGACTATGCGTAATGTATGCTTTACGCATGCGCACGTTGAAAGAAATGTTTAATAAAGTAAACAAATAAATATTAAGCTTTTTTTTTTTGTAAATTTTGATACCCTTTAGATCATAATTGTTCTTTATTTCATAAATTAGTTTCATATTTTTAATTTTGTAATTTCTGCATGTGATCTTACCAGATTTAAACTAATGATCTATAATCCGGAATTGCCGAAGTCCCGACGAGTCCGGATTAACGACTTTTGACTGTATACAATATTTTTAATCTGAAAAACAAGCAAGGTAATAAATGCATAAATTGTGCTTTAGCACAATTACAATTTCCAAAACAATTCTTAGCAAAAGCTACATAGCCATGTAATTAAAAATATCTTC